AATAATATGACGTTTCATAGTAAGAAGAAACACATACATATAAGGTACCACTTGATCTAAGAACGAATAAGTGATATGACTCTGAATTTAAAGAAAACCCTTGGTACAAAGAATCTAGCAAACATATTTGTCAAAGTGTTGACGATAGAGAAGTTGAAGTTGTGCATGGATTTAGATGTTTCCAAGTACTTAATGAAAAGGAACATGTGAAAGAGAAAAGGAGGTTACATAGTTCTAGAATAGACGACATCATATTTATTCATCAGCCTCCAATGGGAGACTTTTAAGCCGTGGGCTAGTTCCTATATCAAAATTGCCTCCAATTTCTTCATGGCCTAGTTTCGCATAAGAGTTTTTAATCTTAGCTTTACTGTTAGTTTTAGGTCAACCAACTAGTATTTATGTCCATTGAGTTCGTGGAACCTATTGTTTCACCAGAAAGCTATAAATTGATTATATCATTTGTTTTATATTTTGTATTATTATTCTCTATTGTTTCACCAGAAAGCTATAAATTGATTATATCATTTGTTTTATATTTTGTATTATTATTATGTGTGTGAGAATTTGCTTGGCGTTTGTTGAAGAGTTAAACCCTAACAAGGTAGACGTTCAAAATGCGTTCTTTTTTTGGTGGATTAACTTATACAATTTATAAGGAACATCTTTTAGGTTTTGTTTATAAGCATCAACCTGATTATTTTTGTATACTTCTCTGCTCTCTCTATGGACTTAAATAGGCTCCTCTTTCCTGGTTCCAAATTCTCACATGCGTTCCTTTCCTTTGGATTTTGTGGCTCCAATGTTGTTTATAAATGCCCATGGGAATGTGATTTTATACATGACCATCTATTTTGAAATAATGATCATCAACGATAATAAATCTATGGAGGTTTCATGCATTATCATTGCACTCCTTTAAAATTTCTTTGAAGGCTTATGTCCTTTACATTACTTTTTTTTGGGTGTATGTGTATTTTAATGTGGCTCCAATGTGTTATTCTCATAAGAGTAATAAATCCTATTGAGAATTAAATAATTCGGTTTGTATGATAATCCAGTGCCATCTCTAATCATGTCGTCCCTGCCTCATCCTATGGAATCATGAAAGGTGCTTCCTGGTCCTACCATGTACCAGTGCCATCAGGTTGTGGGGGCTCTTCAGGTTGCAATCTTGACTCTAGATAATCTTTCTTTTTCTTTTGATAAGGTTTTCTAATATATATACATTACATTGCAAAGCTTCATATTGATCCATTGTTAAAGGGATTATCTATTATCTATAAGGCATCACCTCTTAGTGATTATTGTTTCTTCACAAACTCTTACGTTAGAGGTATTTGTCTACTCAACTTGGGCCCATCTAAGACTCTAGAAAGCTTCAAAGCTTTCAATAATCTTGATAGGATGGTTTTTACAAATAATATACGTTCCGATGGAGGCTATGTTATCTTTCTTGACTCCAACCTATTATCAAGGTTTTCTCGCAAGCATAATACAATCCCACGCTCTTTAACAAAATTATAGTATAAAGTTATTCCAATCACTATTGTTGAGATAACATATTTATTGTCTATTCTTTTTGAATTTTATGTTCCGATACAACCCCCTCATTTATAATGTAATAGCATCGACACCAACTACTATTCGACAAACCCAATGCTCCATGCTTACACAAAAAACACCGAGGTTGACTTTCACTTTGTTCGAGAAAGTCACTAATTAGTAACTACAAGTTCAATTCATCTGTACAGAGAAACCTGTAGAAATCCTTCCAAACCTCGTTGCTATAGCTCGATTTTTCCATTCTATGCTCCCAACGTCATGTTGCTAACCACCCTTTGCTTGTGAGGCGTATCAAACATAATATAAATGGGCTATGCAACTATGTATATGGGCCATATCATCTAAGTTCTAGTATATTACTAGTTGTGAGACCCGTATACTATACGGGTTGATTACAACAAAATGTTAAATACGAATGATTAAACGGAAAGTTTATTTTAATTTGAAATTTGAAATAAGTAAAATTATGAGAAAAAAATAAAAAATAAAACATGCAAAAAAATAAATTAAAATTATATGTTTAGTTGTCAGACCCATGTACTAAACATGTTAATTATAATAAAATGTGAAATACGAAGGTTTAAATTGTATATTTATTTAAAATTGAATTTGAAATTTGAAATTTGTAATTATATATATATATATATATATATCTATATATATATATTATATTATTATAATATCTATATATTAAATCACATGGGAAGTTTCAACATGAAACTTTCCATGTTTCTAATTTTAACACTATATTTTTACTTTTTCTTAATTTTGCCACTTAAATTTCGACAAACTTTTAATTTTTATAAGTTTGCCCCTTTATTTTTACTTCTTCATATTTTTACCACTAAACATTCACTTTTACTTCTTTAAAACCCTTTTCCTTTATTCTTTTATAATTTTACCACTTTATTTTTACTTTTTTATAATTTTGCCACTAAAGTTTCAACAAACTTTTCCTCTTTATAGTTTTGGTATTTTATTTTTACTAATTTTTTTTTATTAATTTTGCCACTAAAGTTTCAACAAATTTTTCCTCTTTATAATTTTGGCACTTTATTTTCACTTCTTTATATTTTTGCCACTAAACTTTCACCCGTGCAACGCATGGGCCTTTTCCTAGTTAATATAGTAATTATGATATATTTAATTTATGGAAACTAAATTAATGATATATTAAAAAATGAAGTAAATGATAATGACAAGTGGAAAATAAATATATCAAAATTATGATAAAATAACATGTGACATAATGAATGAAAAAGTGACATGTGACAAAATTATTTTTCATTTATTAGAGAGGATTATTATGTATATATAGCCTCATGTATCCTTTGTAAATTATCTTATGCATAATAAAGAGATTTAACCACTCTAACATCAAAGTGATTTGATGAAGTATGAGGTTTACATACATTAGTTAAAGGCATACTATAAAATGTTCATTTCTGTCATTTAAACAGTTTATTACATTTATAAAATAAATAACTCATATTTAAGGCATACTTACATTAGACAAATATCATGTTTTTATTCAACAATTTATAACTAGCTGATTTGGTAAAAATGCATGTGATACACATAGTTATATAACCATGCCATCCCGGACCCTGCTGTATGGAAGATTTCATATTATATTACTTTTAGATCATATTTTTTTTTGTAAGATATATGGAGTCCAAGATTATATTCATCAAAAAGTTCCTTCATAAAAAAAGGGTTACTCTTTCAAATATATGATATAGACATTTATAGGACTGTGCGAGAGACAGATGTGTGATGCATTAACACTACTCCGTCAGAGACGGTAGGTTAATCAAGGATGTGTTAAGATATGGTGGAGCTAGAATACAACTCTAATATCATGTAAGATATATGCGGAATTCCGTATGCACTCTAAAAAAGAAGCCACAAGAGAGAGAGAGAGAGAGAGAGAGAGAGAGAGAGAGAGAGAGAGAGAAGAGAGAGAGAGAGAGAGGGAGAGAGAGAGAGACGCCATTATTCACTAACATTTTTTTTATCAAAATTCTAAAATCAATAGTTACAACAAAAAAATATCTAAAACATGTCTATACGACTTTAATCATTATATCTTTTATTTGGTATACTAACTATAATTATTGTACTTATTATAACTATATACAATATTATTTATTTGTTAGGTATTAAGACATCAATAAACACACTAAAAACAATCATATTAATAATTAAAGATATGAAAGAAAAAAAATAAAGAACACAAGAAAGGTAGTGTCATTGTCGATTAGAATAATTCAGCTACGTACACGGATGAGGTAGAGAAAGGATTTTTGCAATAATGATAACCAGATTAATATATGCTAGTGGGACAAAACAAAAAACGACATCATGTTTGGCCCTTGCACCGTATGTTGAACCACAACCTACTTTTTTTTTTGTAGAATCAACCACGACCTACTTTGTAACTACTATGCAACTACGGATGGCTACACCATAACTTACTTCGTACCTACTCCATAGTTATTGACTGCTAATCTGAAAATTACCGAACAGGTACTCCGCATACTTCTTTTCGAGTAGACTAACCCGCAAATACTTTGTCCAAGAACTACAGACCACTTTGAATCTACCCCCGTAGACCTTTGGGGGCCATGCTTAAACTTAGCCGTGGAAATAATGACAAAATGATAACCAGACTCTACAAATGAACATTATTTGTCTTATTAGAAATTAACTTCTATTGCATTCTTTTTCATACTACCAAAATATGCTCGAAGTGCCTACGTAGTAGCAAAACATAATCCACACATCTCCTACGTACTCTAAGAGAATTTCCCTTGTAGTAGCAAAACATAATGCACACATCTCCTACAGACATCACACATCTTCATGCTTTAGTAATATAGAACATACATAACTACCACACCACATGTTTTGGGGGAAGATTTGGAGCAAGAAGATGTTGCTAATCAGAATTTTCAAACAATAGCATCATTTCCGCATTCTGTTAACCTATGAAATATATTTTCTTTACGATGAATACAACGATTTAATTCTCCATTAATAGCTCTGCATATATAAACATTTCAAAACCAAGCATGAAATAGGTTTAAAACGAATATTAGCATTATATAATGTATTCACTTCTATCTAAATAAGAATTTTTTAAGCGATTCCTCTTTGCATGTATAACTTGCATTATAAAAATAATAATGCCATAAAAATGAGGGTCTAATACTCAAATCGGCATCAAATGCAACAAATTAATAACAATGTATACAAGAAGTGATGTGGTATCTAGCGTCTATTGAAACACCAAAATGTGGAATAAGATTTTATGTAAAAATTGTGATATCAATACAAAAAGAATACAACATGAACACTTGTTTCTAATCATTTGCCCCGATATTCTAATTTGATTACATTACGTTAATGATCACAAACTCTTCTATTTTCAGCAGAATTAGCAACCAGTGTAGGGGTAGAGAATACAACGAATACAGATCTATTCGAGATGTACTTCAAAATGGCAGATTTAGATAAAGATGGACGTATTAATGGTGTGGAAGCTGTTCCATTCTTTCAAACCACCGGATTACCAAAGGCTATTCTCGCTAAAATATGGTCATATGTTGATGTAAATCGAAATAGTTACCTTAACCGATCAGAGTTCGACAATTATCTAAAACTTGTAACCGTTGCTCAAAGTAAGCGAGAACTTACTCCAGATATCGTGAAAGCAGCTCTATATGGACCGGCTTCAACTAAAATTCCTGCTCCCCAGATTGACGTGGAGGCCTTAGCTATTCCTCAACAAAATTTAAAGGTACGCCAGCCTTCTCTATTCCCAAAAAAAAAAAGTTTGACAAACTATGATTTTTGAAATGTGCATATGTGCACATTTAAATGTTCATATATGTGCATGTATGCACATTTATTTTTTTTTTAAAAAAATTTCAAAATCAACACAACAATGAGACTCTAATACCAACGTTTAAAAGAATTGCAACATGAAAATCTCAAAAAACACACAAAATCATGTGCATGCTTGCACATTTAGATGTGAATATATGCTTACGTCCAAAAAAAATTCGTCAGATCTTTTTTTGGACCATGGATCTCTTTTAGATGTAGCTTCAGGAGCCTGTTGACACATGTCCTTAACAAAAACACATACAACACATACAACACACACTACTCATCGTATGTATGTTAAAGTAAACTTGCTGGGAGAAAGTTCTAAATTTAATGAAAAATACAGGTACTGAAACAAAAGAAACAATACACCTATTTATATTAAACATGCACATGCACATCTTGTCATCTCCTATAAACTTGGTCAAACTTGACCTTTCCTCCTGTGCACCTTCTAAAACATGGGTATAATCCCTTTATTTCAGCATGACTGAATCAAACACTCCTGAATCATTAACTAGATCCAATCCATGACCCGTTGATCCAACCGATTACCCAACAATCACCCCCTTAATCGGTTGTTCACACCATTCACTTCTTGTCTTCTTTGTGATGGTCCCAACCTTTGTCGATCTAACCCGTTCCTATCAAGAGTCCTCTTCCACCGGTCAAGAAAACCAATCTCCTACTTCTTCTGTTTTCTTTTACCTGCTGTGAGCAAGCCAAATCAAAACCCATATGTTCTGATTTTTTTCAGCTTCTCTTCTCCGCTTCTGGTTAGGCTCTCTTTAATCAGGAACATTTCTGATCAAGGATGGAGATTGCACCTCTGTGGTCTTGACCTTATTCACGCCTCTACTGTGAAAGCATCCTCAACAGTCATCTGCTGCCATCTCCGGGATTGAACCTCCATAGCCGGAGCTATATCTGTCAACACATGTCTTCACGACCACCACCGTGAGCCATTAATGCCACAAGAGCGCTGAATCACTGTCAAGAAGGCCAAGAACATTGCCACTAGATTCTGCACCAGAGAAAATCATGAGCAACACGATCACCTTCATCTCTATTAACACCCATTCCATGCTATACTGAGAACCACAACGATCCTCTACAACTTACTTCACTAACATCGCATCTTGTTTCAACCGGAAAATTACCACAGTAAACCGTTGCCACCTGCTGCACACGACGGCCATTTTTCTCTGCCACTCTTATGCAAAGCTGGAAACTCCTGACCGAAACCCGGCTGCCACCAAACACCACCCGCCCACCCCCCCCCCCCCCCCTCCCACACCCCCCCCCCACCCCCCCCCACCCCCCCCCCCCCCCCCCCCCCCCCCCCCCCCCCCCCCCTTCCGCTGTGATGGCAACCATGCGCCCGAAGGCTCCTCCCCTACGAAAGTCGACTCTCAAAGCAGCCTTGTACCTCCTTACGAGCCCTAAGCTCTAATACCAATTGTTGGCACAGGTCCTTAATAAAAACACACACAACACACTACTCACGTATGTATGTGAAAGTAAACTTGCTAGGAGAAAGCTTCTAAATTCAATGAAAAATAGAGGTTCTGAAACAAAAGAAACAATACACATATTTATACTAAACATGCACATGCACATCTCGTCATCTCCTATAAACTTGGTCAAACTTGACCTTTTCTCCTATGCACTTTCTAAAACGTGGGTATAATCCCTTTATTTCAGCATGACTCAATCAAACACTCTTGGATCATTAAATAGATCCGACCAATGACCCTTTGAACCAACCGATTAACCCAACACAGCCCAATAGTGGCCTTTGTTTTAAAAAATAATTAGCAGATTAGGAGTTGTGGGGCTCTCTCTCTCTCTCTCTCTATATATATATATATATATATATATATATATATATATATATATATATATATATATTCACACACTTGTAGTTTATGTTTGTGAGTTTTGGTTTTCTTTTGTGGGATGAAGATAATGCAAGAGTCATTATGTGTAGACTTCTCTCTATAGTAATGAGTCAAATTATAGAAATATTTATTTCATGTTTTTCTAAAGCAATTATCCACACAGATGCAGGTTCTACCTACACATAGCGTGTATTGGTAAATACCCTAATTTATTTCATTGAAATTTTTATGGTTGTTTTAGTTCTACATACTTTTATATATTAATTATTCCGTTTATACCTTACATGATGGAAACACATTCATGAAGATGATGACAGTAGAGACTAGATCAAAAGATCCATTGCCAGACACAAAGCTAACGAATTCTGCTGCAGATGATGTAAACCCCTCACATGCAGGTATTTCCATATGGACTTTTAATCAAAATTTTTCCATCTATTTTATTTATACAATTTTTCTTGGAATAACATGTGGAAGGTTTCTTACAATGTAATTACTGTTGCAGTTAAGGAAAACTTCATCGATCCATAAAAAACATTGATTGGAGAATGATTGCATTCTTTTTCATACCGACAAAATATGCTCGAATTGCCCTTGTAGTAGCAAAACATAATACACACATATACTATAAGACATCACACATCTTCGCACTTTAGTGAAATAGAACATATATAACTACCGCAACTCATGTTTTGTGGAAAGATTTGGGGCAAGTAAATGTTGATAATAAGAATATTCCAAGAAAAACTTCTTTTCCCCATTCCGTTAACCTAAAAAAATATAGTTTGCTTTATGCTGAATACGATGATGTCATGCTCCATTAACAGCTCTGCATATATAAACTTTTCAAAACCAAGCATGAAATAGATTTTAAAATACTAATGAATATTAGCATTATATAACGTATTCACTTATATATAAATAAGAATTTTTTTAAGAGTTTTTCTCTTCGCATGTGTAACTTGCATTATACAAATAATAATTCCATAAAAAGTATGGTCTAATAATCAAATCGGCATCAATGTAGCCAGTTAATAAAAATGCATGCACCAAGTGATGGGCTTGGGTTTATTGAAACACCAAAATGTCGAATCAGAGGTTATGTAAGAACTACGATAACATCATAACAATACAAAAAAGAAAACAACATGAACAATTGTTTTCTAATTATTTGCCCCGATATTCTGATTTAATTAATGATCATAAACTCTTGTATTGTTGGCAGAATTGGCAGCCAGGGTAGAGAATACAGATCTATTCGAGATGTATTTCAAAATAGCAGATTTAAATAATGATGGACGCATTAGTGGTGTGGAGGCTGTTCAATTCTTTCAAACCTCTGGATTACCTAAGGCTATTCTCGCTAAAATATGGTCATATGCTGATTTAAATCGAAATAGTTACCTTAACCGATCCGAGTTCAACAATTATCTAAAACTTGTAACCGTTGCTCAAAGTAAGCGAGAACTTACTCCAGATATTGTGAAAGCAGCTCTATATGGACCCGTTTCACCTAAAATTCCTGCTCCCCGAATTGACCTCGAGGCATTAGCTATTCCTCAACAAAATTTAAAGGTACGTTAGCTATCTCTATATAATTGTGATAATCTACCAAAGGGCTTCTAGCCCGCGATACTAGGTGTTGCCCATCCTCCTTGAGCCCAGAGTTCAAGTTCAGTCGTGGACAAATGTAGAATTAAAGAGTAGATTAGATTTTCCTATAAAAAAAGAATTTTGATAAGACTTTTCTCTATAGTAATGATTCAAACTATAGAAACATTTATTTTATGTTTTTCTAAAGCAAATCAACACATACGTGCAGGTTTACCTACATGTAGCGCGTGTGGGTAAACACAATAATTTCTTTGAATGAAAATATTATGGTAGTTTTAGTTATACATACTTTTATATATTTATTTCGTTTGTACTTTTCATGATGGAATCTCACTGAAGAGGACTGTAGAGACTAGATCAATAGATCCATTGCCAGAAACAATGCTATCGAATTCTGCTGCAAATGGTGTAAACTCCTCACATGCAGGTATTTCTGGATAGACTTTTATTTAAATTTTTTCCATCCATTTTATTAATATGATTTTTCTTGGAATAAGTTATAGAAGTATTCTTAGAATGTAATTACTGGTTGAGTTAAGGAAAACTTAAGTATTCAATCAAAAACATTGATTTCAGAATGAAGAAGAAAGAATGTGTTTTCACTAAGAACTAACATTAATCTTTCATTAACTCCATGCCAACAAATACAAAGTTCTGGACATACTTATACATAGACAGATGAACCGAAATAGTCCTTGACAATCATTGCAACCTTTCAATTGTTTTGGCAATTTACAATAACTAACTTAACTTCTAGAATTAACTACCAATTAACTAACCAATTTTCTACCATTCACTTTGTGTTTCTTACCTTTCTTTAAAGAAGAAGAATTTTTTTTCATGTTTCTTGACCAGATCCACTTGAACCATTGCACAATTACTTGGTTGTCATATCATACACCCAATTTTCACTCTTCACATAATAAATTACCGGAACTTGATCTATTCAACATTTTCTTTATGTAGTAAGTGTTTCCAACGTCATTGTAATGTCCTAAATTTTAAACAGCGTTTTTCTTTTTTTTTAAATCAAGAGTAAAACGTCCATTTCCGAAAAATAGATTAAGATACCAGGTTGTTTAAAACCAAGTCATGAAAACAATGTATCAAAATCATCATAAACAACGGAAGTGTAAAATATAATCATATGCAATGTGCGTGTGGGTGCGGTCTAGTCAAGATGGGTCCTTCCCACGATCAACGGAACTACCTGAAATATTTTTAATCCACAACCGTATTCAAAAAGCTTAGTGTGTTCCCATAAATACCACATACAACAATACCTATGCAATACATACACACAGTTGACTCATAGCCTTGTGTTGTTTCGTCAACGAAGATGGGTATCTTTGACTTGAAACCTTGTTTCGATCCATCTTCAAAGCTCCAAATATAACAGATGGTTGACCCGAAGCCTTGTGCCTTTCCGTCAATGATGTTAGGTATCTTTGACTCACATATATGCGTCATTATATCTTCAACCCTCGAAACATGATGAATAAAACCATCCATACATGCAAACAACAAACATACAAAATTCTAAACTAGTCTACCAGTATAAGCACATACAACCAAACCCTACACTGTATCATGCAAGGATATCTACTATCATAAGAGTTATTGTGGGAAACCTAACATTAACTGAAAGTTGAAAAATAACAGCTACACACACGTACCTGTACAAATCGGTCTCTCAAACCACATCAGTAAAAATTAGAGGTCAAACCCCAGTCTATAGCTTAATCTCTCAAAGTTTTGCCAAAACTCAGACCGGTCATAAGTCAATGGTCAACAACAAGCGCGTCATAACATGGACCAGGTGCTCCACACCCACTACACGACACAATAGTCGTGAAAACCCTAGAAGTATGTTGTGACATCCAAAAGTTGTGTCACCCCTGTAACTTAACAATCCGCTTATATTAAGCACTTATTCCCTTAAGTCATAAGCTCAAAACTTTAGATCTAGATCTCCTAAGTGACTTAATGGATAAGTGTCCAAATTAATCCATTTCTAAGGCTTAATCTCCTCTAAACACTAACCCTAACTCTAAAAAGGACGAAAACTCATGCATGACACAAAGAAAATGCATGAAAACACAAATTTTCTATCTTCAAACTAGTCAAGAAGACACGTAAGCCACTCATAAGGTTATGGAGTTCTACAAACTGCAAGAACGCCATGAAAAGGAACCAAATGAAAACAAAATGAAGAACAAAACTAGATCTAAAGAGATAAACATCAAAGCAAGAACTTCATGCTAACAATTGTCCAGAAATATGATGAAAATATTGGATCTAGACTACAACAAATATTCCTTGTGCCAAGAGAGACTTCTTTCACCATCAAGCTTCATAAGTACGACACAAAAGCTCAAAACTCAAGTATGGAGACTAAGGTTTGATATGGGGACATTCTCTAGAAATTGAAGCTAACAAATATGTAAAGCCCTAGAGATAAATGTCTTTAAATAGGGCCTAAACCGGAGAATCAGGGTTTCATTTTCCTATCGGGGCACGCCGAGCATAAACTTATGCACTTCGCACCCTGATCGTGTTCAAGACAATATACCACATACTTTGACATAATGTCCTAGCCATTAAAAATAATCTTGACATCCATCACCATGTCGTCGGTTTAATCAACATCTTTGTCTTGACTTTTTTATTTGATATCATCATAACCACTTACAATCATCATCATTATTGTCTAGAATCTTTTCATTCCGATCGTCACTACATCGTCACTATGGAGAGTATCATCAATGGTAGTGATTCTAATATCATCGGTTCGTTTGTCTAGTCAGGATTCTAATCAAGACAAGGTGAGTTACACTTGGTTATATTTTGATACAAGAAGTGCATAGTGCAAACTAGGATAACTAAAGAGGACTCGTGAACATGGTGGTCAGGGGACAACCCCTCGGGTAGAGTTCCAAGGGGCATTTCACTTCACGTGGTCTAGGAGAAGCGCCCCTAGCGGGATAGTTCCCGATATACAGGAAAATTAGACCCAACCGTTCACTAGAAGCTCATGAATTCTGTTGATGCAAGATCTGTTATTGTTAACCCCATGATTGAATTTTTGTCCCCACCCACAAGCGAATTAAGGCGAGATTTTGCTTAACGTCATATGTTAAGTAAGTTCCAGATCAAGAATTCTTTTTCTTCCATCCTTAAGCGCTGTTATTTCAAAGTCATTCCATTGTCTTTCCTCGGTGGCTTTATCTAGTTCATCCATCTTCTTTCTAGCAGATATGAGAACTGTTGATTCACAATTTTTGGTGTCAATTCTCCACTTATTTCATTATATTTTTAAGATTCGAAGTTTAGTAGCAAGAAAAATGTCTGGAGTTCCATATCCCTAAATGAAGACCGGACATTAAGAAATATAGTGTTAAATTCATCTCTTAACATCCAAGAATTAAAGAAATGAAATGGTGGAGGTTCGAATTCAACTGAAGAGGTTTTGAGGATGATAGGCGAATGATCTGATAACTCTCTAGGTATTGCAGTGACTGAGGTAAGGGGCATAAAGGATATGACGTTGGAGCAATCAAGAAACCAGTCGAGTTTTCTTAATTTTATATCGTCACTGAACATGTAAGTGGAACCTCGACACCCTATTTGTGGTTCTTAAAGACCATCCCCAATGATGAAGTTAATGATATCGGTAGCAGATATCTTGCAGAAATAAGAGTTAAGTCTTTCATAAGGGCGCCGAACTGCATTGAAATCGACCCCAATTATCTAGGTTCCACCGTGAGAAATTTTTAAACCGGTAAGATTTTTGCATAGCAATATCTTCTCATTGGGGGATTGGGAGCTTAAACATTGAGAGGGACTGTGGTTCCGGGACCAAAGGTGTCAATAAAATTTCTGGTTTTAATGGTACTGGATAAGGAAAAGCGATTAGTGACCTACAAACTGACTAAACCACCTGATATTCATGTCGGATTAACAAAATCAAATCCAAAGGAGTCATTTCCCCAAGACCCCTGTAAGTCAATGGTCGATGAATCAGATACACATGTTTCTTATAGGCAAATATGACCAATTTTGTGTTGAGATTTTAATCTAAACACCCAATAGACTTTATATTGCACACCAACACCACAAACATTGATTGAGATACATATAATTGGGAAACTGGGATAGCACCTTCTCCATCGGACAACACATCTGCAATAATACAATTGTTGTTTTCAATATGGAACCCAATTTCGACTCCGATATGGGTGGTGATTCCCATTAGACTAGATGGGCTTTGGAATAAACTAGGCCCAAATGAGAAGTTTTTAAGCCAGGCCAGTAGCGTCAAAGATCAGGGCTGATCAGGTTCACAATCAGAATATTAGCGTGTGGGATATTGTCATGGTCTTCAACAGAATTAGAGGGTGATTGAGATTACTTTTGAAATGACTTTTTGGCTTTACTTTTTCTAAAAGTCAAAATATACCAAAATATGTTTTGGGAAATACAAATGTTCTTTTCAATGTAACTTTTTGTAAAGAAGAAAAAGATGAGTTTTCAAAAGTCAGGAAAATATGATTTTTTTGTGACTTTTAGCATTTTAAAACCTAAATTATACTTAAAAGTCAAGAAATGTAACCCAAATGCTTTGTAGAAACAACTATTGGTTTTTGCCTCCTGAAAATCTAAAGTAAAAAAAAACTTTTTAACTTTTAGCTTAAAAATAATCCAAAACACCCCATTAATCTCAATACCAGGTTCATTGTGATTACCAATGCACGACGTTTCTTCTAACCGACAATCCAAATTCCTGTCTCCATCTGCCAGAAGAGACTGGTCGGCGGTGAGATTGAATATGTGGTCACCAGTGATGTTAATTTCCGGATGAATATCTTTGTCTTCCATATCGTTATCATGCCCATCAATGTATCTGAGATGTCGTCCTCTTCATCATCATCCTCTCTATTGCTATCAGATACTGATTTAAGTTCCTCAAAACTGTCTTCAAATGGATTCCATTCGTCTTCTACTTCATATAACCCACCCTGTAAGTCTTTTCACGGATGGCAACAAGGATCTCCTTTCTTGCGATGAGATGTTAGGATGTAGGCTAAATTAATCTTAAAGATTTATGATCACAAATATCCACATTTATCATATGTAAAGCAACAAAAATTTGAATGTGTTCTTAGCATCCCTTAAAGACGTCTCGTCGTTTCCATACCAAGAGAATCCCTAGTGTAGAATTTGACTATAATAAACTGTTTGAAAATGGGTAGACTTAACTCTGATCGTTGACTGCCTACACTTGAAAGTAAGTACTTCCTTATTTATAATCATATTTTCCAAAACAGGTATTGTAGAGCAAGGAGATAGATAATGAAACCGGTCCAAACATAAAATTACGCCTGCCAAAAGATAATATATCTCTAAGATTGTCAATATTAATTATTTATAGTAAAATTGCAAATTTTGGGAAACTCAATTAATTTGAATTAAGTTCAAAATAAATACCTAAGATTATCAAGTATTTGCATTATATGATGTATTTCACTTCTATTTCATATAATAAAACAAATTTTGAAAGACACGTGTAACATTTAATGCTCATTTAATGAAATGTAATGATATTTTAGTAATGTAATGTGACACATGTCAACATTTAAATGAGTAGGAGGATTGGTAGGAATAAAAGGCAGGATGATATTTAATTTCTCTTTTCTCAAAGTACTACAACACCATGAACCATTTTAAGGTAGCAAACTCATGGCTAGCTTTTGGTGGTTTTTATGTATTTGGAGCCAATGTTTAGTCTGTCATCAAAGTGACTCACCAAGAGTGCAGCAAAACTGTGGTTATGTAACAAATAATGGGGTTTACATAAGCACGCAACGTAAACACTTGAAGTCCTATCTTTTTCACCAATCTTTGGATTTGCTTACTCTAATTCAATGATCACTGATCTTGTATTTTGGTAGAAATGGGACATCAGGTGATCAATACAGATCTATTTGAAATATACTTCAAAAAAGCAGATTTAGATCAAGATGGGTATGTTAGTGGCGCTGAAGCTCTTCCCTTCTTTCAAGCCTCTGGTTTACCTAAGTCGGTTCTTGCTCACATATGGCGATGTGTTGATACAAATCAAAATGGTTATCTTAGTCGAGGGGAGTTCGACAATTATCTGAAACTTATAACTGTTGCACAAAGTAAGCGAGAACTTACTCCAGATATGGTGAAAGCGGCATTATATGGACCTGCTTCAGCTAAAATACCCGCTCCTAACCTCCCTCAATAAGGTGTGCACCTCAGCCAATTTTAAACGTGGATCTATAGTCTCTGCAAGAATAAAATCATGTTGTCAAAAAGAATCTTGACAGATATATTGTAAATCAAAGTTATTGTAATTAACTACAGTTAACTTTTATAAAAATAATAAAACGTTGATATAAAAATAATTCAATACTCATCTATAAGAACGTTGGAAGTTAAAGACATGTGCACCTCAGCCAATATTTTTGTTATATTAGTATATTATATACTTCGCAAAATAAAATTCATATTCATGAGTAAAAATAAATATTTATCTACAACCAAGTTTTTTTAGAACCGTAATATATTAGAAAATAGAGACCAACTTCCCGCTAAACAATATAGTAATAGTTTTTGAAAGTTTTTAGGTTTTATTTTTTTAAAACAAAATTCTAAAAAAAATTTCGTTTGGCAGTAAAAACTTTTTAGCTTTTGGGTCGAAGAAAAAATTTCAAATCCAAAAGCTACTTCAATTAACGTTTACAAAAAAACTATTTTAGTTTTTTACAAATTAACTTAAATGCCATTTAAAATAAATAAATCATATTCATATTTTTGGTAATTATCTTATATGATTAAATGTACATATATTTTAACAAAAAATAATCTTCATACTTTTGGTAATTAATCTTCATCTAACAAATAAATAAATAAAAATTATGGTATATTTTAAGAAGGTAGTCTTGTCGATCCACTATCTAGGCCAATAAAGGTTTATGTCCATGTGTAACATGATGAAGTAGACAAAAAGTATGTAATTGAAGTTTATTTGTTCCTTCTTCCTTAACCAGAGAAACAATATCTATGGACCGTTTAATGGTTTGGTGTTAACATTTAAAGTGCTTGGTCGAGCCCTGACTGAAATTGATATGTTCAATTTAGTAGTCAGATACAGTCATCACAAATCTATATCGGGAAACATAATCTCGAATTCTAAGATTGATCATTATCCATATCTCGAATTAATATAGATATCATAGAATGAAGGAATAGGTGTGTAACACCCCCGATTTCTAGGAATGAAGTTCTAAAGATTTTGGGCACTTTAGAGAGCCTACTCGACGAGTTGGAGGTAGCAACTCGTCGTGTAGGGACTTACATGGCCGCACAGATTATGGGACCAACTCGACGAGTTGGAGGACCCAACACAACGAGTTGGAGCTGGGAAGTGAAAATCCTAATTTTTAGGGTTTGCACCCTATTTAAGCATTTTATTCTCCACTTCCTGGCCTCATTTACTACCTCCATCGTCCCTCAACCTAGCTAAGAAACCCTAATCCATTTTGAAGAGTTTAGAGCCATTCCTTGGGATTTTGAAGCTTGTGAAGGAAGGAAGAGCTTGGGGATTCAAGAGGAAGCTTGTAGATCCAGGGTTCCAGCTTCACTTCAGACTCATTTGAGGTATAAAGCTTATACCTTGGTTTTCTATAACTTAGATCCTCTTTTAGGATAAGTTGTTATTTTTGGACCATTTTGAAGTCAATCTCGGTATTTGAGTGCATTAGGGAGTGATGACTTCAGATCTAGGCACATATGAGCTCATGAAGCTTAAAGTTGCCACCTTTATTAAGCCATAACCCTTCTCCATGCCCTAAACCTCTTTTATAGCCGAGTTTTGGTGTTTCTAACTCATAACACCATGCATGAACGTAAAGTTTGTAACTTTACGTGTTATGTCCATTCTAGGGGACCAGATCTATGGATTGGATGCACTGAGCCCAACATAAAGTGACTTAATGGATATAGGTTATGCGGGACTCGACGAGTTGTTCATACAACTCGGCGAGTTGGGTCGTGGTTTCCCAACCTTTTCCGTTACTGAGTAAATTCATGAGTGCGCATTTATAGAAAAAGAACGAGGCAAAATCCGGGATTGGTAGTGCACACTAAGATACGATGGGCAATATAAAGGCACGGGTGAATGATGGAGGTTACCTTATCGCGACCGGCACATGAAAAGATCCCACCGGTGATTTCCGTCCAAAAGGTCTCGTGTTTGAAGTCGGTAGGCAAGGAGTCGTAAGTCTCGAATGTGTTTGAGGAAGGTAAGCCCAAGATGTCATTTATCCTTGAAACATCAATGTATGCTCGGTCCCCCATAAGTTGGAATGCAACTTTTTTTCTCTAGCTGTCTAACCCGCAGTCGGCAAGGAACTCTCTAGTAGGGAGCTCGTAAGTGTGTTCCATGAGATTTAGAAGGTTTTCTGACCCGATGTTACGGAACAATTGGGTGATCCCCTCAAGAACCCCTAATGAAATGAGCGTGGGTTTGCACACAAATTTGGTAGAAGAAACTTTTCTTGGCAAACTTCGGTTATAGTTTTCAGTCGCCTTTGCGTCCCGAAACCTTGGAATGTTTGGTTCCGCATTTTGAGCTCTAGCGGGGGCCTTGCCTCGGGCGGCTGCCGAGCGCTTTCTAGATGTGGACATGATCAACCTGCAACGAAATTAACAACTACACGAACCACAATCCCAACAAATGATATTTCAATTCAAATCACCAATCGACTCCCTATGGACTTCTAAAATGATTCAACAATCAATGCAAGAAACGTTTCCTAGACTCAATGGATGAAATATCATATAAGTTGTTGTCCTAAAACATGCATGTTGGTCGATTAAAGTCAAGGAAAGAATGTACCCGTTGGTGATCACGACTTTTGAAAATTAAAAATTTGCGCGCGAAAATTCGGGATTTGAAAATCTTGCAACACTCCGCCCCAAGCTTAAAGCTTTGCTCATTACCTCGTGAGAAGCACTTTACCGCGAAAACTCGAGAAATCCGACAACGGCTTGAGATTCCGGAAAAATTTTTTGGCCAGCTTTGAGGGATATTTTTAGTGGGGTTTGTAGCCTTGACCAAGAGGAACACAGTGGTGGTGTCGGAATCACGAGAGGTGGCTGGAGTTGGCCGGAAATGGTCGGAAAGTGGCGAGATGGTGGTGGTGGCGCCCTAAATTCCGGCAACAGATCGGACCGGTTTTTTGGTGGGGTTTCACGTAATTCCGACCGACGGTTTGACGGGAAATCAAGTTTTTGTGTTGAAAGTGGGGGAGTTTTAATGGAGGTTAGAAGAAAAAGAAGAGAAGAATGGAGCAGAAAGGGCCGACTGTTGTATTTTATGTATTTAATTCGTGGTCAAATATGGTCAACGAAAGTCAAGAAGTCACGTGGACGGTTCTTCGAGTACACGTGGTCCACGTGAACATTTCTGTAAACGGCCCCTTTTCGAATTTTCACGCGGTCGAATTTTGGAGCTTACGCGACCCGTTTTTATAACCCACGCGGACGAGGCTTCGAGTACACGCCGTCTGCATGAATAGTTCTGTAAACCCCCAATTTTTGAAGAAAGACGCAGACGTTTTTGGGGACCACACACGGTCCGTTTGTTTATACACGCGGACACTCCTTCGAGTACACGCGGTCCATTTGTGTCTTGCTGAAACATCTCAATTTTCGCCCTTTGACCAAAACGAATATCGGGGCTTAGAATTCAACACTGCTATATTGCAAGAAGGAAGAAGAAGAAATGTTAAGTGCAAAAAGGATCTATCTAAAACATTTATTCGGAATTAGAAAAGATGAAAAGATTAAGTTTTCCAAAAATGCCCTTCTTTAACGTCTTTGGCGAGACGTCCTTCTAGCTTGATTCAACACCTCGGGACATGCAAATGGATGATTTCAAGGGCATTTGCATTAAATCCTTCGTTGAATGGCTTCAAACGATGCCTATTGACTTTGAAAATTTGTCCTGTTTCTTCACTTTGTATTTCCACCGCTCCATGTTCAAAAGTTTTTAGTACAACAAAGGCCCAATCCACCTTGACCTTAACTTTCTAGGAAATAACTTCAATCGCGAATGGTAAAGCAATACTCGATGTCCCGACGCAAAATGCTTGCGGGTGATGGACTTGTCATGAAAAAGCTTCATTTTCTCCTTGTAAATTCTTGAGTTTTCATAAGATTCATTTCTCAATTTTTCTAACTCTTGAATTTGAAGCTTCCTATGCCTTCCCGCCTCATCAATATTGAAGTTTCATTGCTTGACCGCCCAAAATGCACGGTGCTCCAATTCCACGGGAAGATGACATGGTTTTCCAAAAACCATCCTAAATGGAGACATTCCTATCGGGGTTTTGTAAGCGGTCCGATAGGCCCACAAGGCATCATCAAACCTGGAAATCCAATCCTTTCTTGTAGGATTCACTGTTTTCTCAAGAATAGACTTCACTTCACGATTTGAAACCTCCGCTTGACCATTCGTTTGAGGGTGGAAGGTGGTAGAGACACGGTGGGTCACATTGTACTTTTTTTAGAAAAGCCTCCATCATCTTGTTGCAAAAATGCGTCCCTCTATCACTAATCAAAGCCCTAGGCACACTAAATCTCACAAAAACATTAGACTTTAAAAACTCGATAACCGTTTTGGCATCATCCGATCTTGTGACTTTGACTTCAACCCATTTAGAGACATAGTCAATCGCGAGAAAAATATAAACGTTGCCAAATGAGACGGGAAATGGGCCCATAATGTCAATCCCCCATACGTCAAAAACTTCACAAACAAGGATTGGATTTTGTGGCATTTGATTTTTCTGTGAAATGTTCCCCATCCTTTGGCACTGTTCACAACTTTTACAAAACAAATAACAATCGCGTGACATGGTTGGCCAAAATAGTCCACACTCAAGAACTTTTCTCAAGGTTTGTTTAGGTCTGAAGTGTCCCCCACAAGCAAATTCATGAAAAAAGTGCAAAATGGATTGATACTCTTGTTGGGGCACACATCGCCTAATGATTTGATCGGGACATGTTTCCACAAATAAGGTTCATCCAACACATAATATTTTGCATCAGTTTTCAATTTGTCTTTTTGAGCACGTGTGAATGTGTCGGGACACCTTTTTGTGACCATAAACTTAACGATATCGGCATACCAAGGAACTGATTGAGTAAGGGAAAAGAGATGCTCATCTGGAAACTCGT